AATTTCTTACAACAACACTGATTCCCCTTCTAAAACATCCTGGCATCTATTGCCCATCATGCCTCTGTACTTAGCATCTGTCTGGTGTCACAAGACGGCAGATACAGCATTTTGCCTCTGCCTTTATAGTTAAGTAGAGTATGATTCATGAATCCACTCTCTTCTTCTCAGCTTGTGTAAATGACCCTCTTGGGTATATATAAGCTTGATAAACCAAAGACATGGATGAAGGGAGAGAGACAGAGGGATGGAGTGAGGAGGAGGTGGGAGGGGCGGGAGGCTCGACGGCTCTTTGAGGAACAGAGTTGTTAGCGCTTTGCCCTCGGGGTGAATGAGAAGTAGCTTTGAGGGCTGAGAGACCCAGGGTTGGCTCCCCCACCTAAAGGCGTGTTTACCACCTTGTTGCGCGGCGGCTGTGCTTTTGAAGGATCATTCTTGAACGCGCCTCTAATTAAAGCTGTCATGGCTGGGTGCCTGCAGGGATAATGTTCTATTATTATAGTCATTTGTTTCAATTAAACGCTGGCTGATTTTACAATAGCAGCCGTGAACCTGTGTGAGTGAGCCATCACTCTAAACAAGATGGCTCCAGTCAAGCAGGGAGTGAGGAAAGACAAGTCTCGGGACTCACACGGGCATCGATCAGTGAATATCGAAACAGGGCGGGGCGGGAGTGAGAAAGAATTTGAAACCTAAATTGGACAGATATCGTGTAGCATTGAGAAAACAAAATGCCCCATCGTTTAATTAACTTTTGGTTTTCCTTTACAATTTGAAGCTAGTCAACTAAAAGTGAATTGACTCCAGCTCTACACAAAGTACTTAATTAAAAACTGACAGATTTATTTTAGATGGCGCTAACAAGTTAAAACATGACAATTTATTGATCCTATAGCATCCACAGATGGGTTTATTATGAAGCTACAGTAATAAAGCATGCATAGCAATCAACAAGCTTATTTAAATGATGAAACAGATGCCACTCTGGTATAATCATCAAAAGGACAGAGCAAGGTTAGCTGTTTTACTCGCCTCTGGTGCGCATCTCTCCTTTTTCTCCTTGTAGCTGTGTATAGGACTCTCTTCTCCCCTTCTCTCATCTCTGTGCTGGTGGTCAAATCCCCTTAGCTAAATCAAATGGTGCAGGCAATTGGAGCAGCCGTGAAACCATTTCAAAGGTAAGGTCAGCAGGAGCAGGGGAACAATGGCTTTGTGATATTCCATCTCGCACACAATGTGCTACACATAATTGGAAAGCCTTTGTTATTTGACTCCCATTTGACTATGATGTACAAGATGTGAATACAAACACGACAGGCGTAACGATGGCAGAGGAACACGTTCACACAGAGTTTCCTGGCTTTACATCACAGTTTAGGTCTGCCTGGCTGCTCATCACCAAAAAGCAATACCTAACTGTCCCCTCGCTAACTTTGCTAACTTTGATTTTACTACTTAGGTCGTGTGGCTTTTTTCTCTTATATTTTCTGTACTTTTTCTCATGTTTTCTCTTTTTAGCTTTACCGCGGCGTATTTCCTTGGTGTTGTACAGAAAACAGCTACATTTCTGAAGGTTAAGCACAGATACAGCAATACCCAGCAGAGAGCAGGAATCCGACACTGTAAAAGTATTAAAAAAAACGTTCAAAATTTTAGATGAGTTATCAGATTTACTCACTCAAAATGATAACATGATTTTTATGTTGTGTCACAGATTATAAAGCCAGTGCTCTTAATGTCAAGACTCCATGGAAAGTCAGTATGTGTTACATGCTAACTGCAAAGAGCACTGACCAACTAAATCCTGTTACTCACTGTGCACTCCCACCTCTTTCTAGCCTCTTGGATGATACCAATAAGAATTAGCATACAGTACCTATGGCAACCAGCAACCTTTGTCAGATTCTTTCATAATATTTATACAGCCGTCTGCCACTAGCTTTATTTGGCTCTAGCTTGATGGCGCTATGTGATAACTTCTTGGTCTTTCTGTCTCACACAGGTGAAAGCCAAACTAAACGCACTCTGAGACTATTTCAAACAGGATGTTGAAATTACAATTAAATTATCACAGTGGGGGTGTCTTGAGTAATGAGTTCAGGATCTGTTATATCTGGTTTTAGTAACTATAAGAAGATAAGTCAGTCTTTCATACTTTGGAATGGGACAATTTCGTCCTTATATAGAACATCTTGTGTTATTATCTTCACAAAGAGTGGAATAGTTTTGGCGTTTCTGTGCTTCCTGATGACTTGCTGCTTCATTAGCTCGAACGGAACATGCAGCTTTAATGAAAATGGGGTTCATGAAATATGAGAGCAAACATAAATAAATACCCATTAAATAAACAAATAGCAAGTAGAGTCAGTGTTTTGGTGTTTTTTTTGCATTTTTTTATTTTTTTTGTTTGTTGGTTTGTTCTTATCTATAGTAACGGAAGAAACATTGCAACTAACTTTACTATCCCTAGTAATCAATGCATGCGTGTCTGTAAATCCTGCTTATTTATTTATCTATTGTCTCTACTGTTGTGGGGCTGGCCAAATATTCACGACGCTGTGGCGTCTTCCCCCTGTGAACTTCGCTGCTCTGCATGTCTCCTTCTTGTTTACATTAAACATGGTGTGACTCAGATTAAAGGGTGACAATTTTGCCTGGAGGCTGTTGCTATGGAAATGCATCTGCTATAGCTATGATAGGCCATTCATGTTTGATTAATTGGTTTTTCAGTGCTTCTTGGTTTGTGAGGACCCTTAAAGAGCAAGTCCATGGAAAATGGAAAATTAATGGATTTCTGTTTCCTTCGTTTTACTCCATTTTCCTTCCTCCTTCCTTTTTTTGTCTGACTACTTATTTTGCTGGAGCTATTTCCTCATGTTTTAAGAAGTGTAGAGATGGTGTTTTGAATTATGATTGGAAGTTGGAGATTGTCATGGATGGGGGAGGTTTGAACTTGGTTATTTGAAATGCAAAACGAATGTCTTTGTTCACTGCTGGCTTTTGTGAGCAGCTGCTGAGGCAAACACAGAATCTAATGTCGTGTGAATATTACGAGTTTTCAAAGCAGGCCAGAGCTGCTCACAACATTACTTTGTTGTGCATTTTTATTCTACCAATCTACTGGGACCAATTATGATTAGAGTGCTGAGCCTTCATCTCTGAACCTCTACTCATGTTTATCAAGACCTCATATGCTCGAGCCCTTTAAATTTGATCTTTTTAGCACTGCACTAATGTGTAATGTATTATTTAACTCATAAATGTTTAAAAGAGCTAACAAATGCTAGTTCATCACTTTCTGATCTGTAAATTCCCAAACATTCCCATTTATGCCAGCATTAAAAGCATCCTTTGGTCTGTGTTCATGTTCTGTTCTGATGAATCTTGAAATAAAGCTTTTGATGTCGTTGCTGTTGATGATCTTATTAGATGGCTAAGAACAGAACTTTATGAGCCTGATTCTGTAACCACTAAAGTATATTTTCCTGGGACATTCCCAGCAGTTTACAACTGTTTTTTCTGCTTGTGCTTATAGAAGTGTTGGCAATACATTTTCTTTTCCTTTTTACAGCACAATGACCATAACATCTCAGTTCATTCATACCACTGACTCGGTGATTGCTTGACCAGTTGCTGAGACATCTGGCTTTTCAAATACTAAGAAAAAAAAAATTCAGAAGCAGTAAATGAGGAAATCTTAACCTCAATACTACACAGGCTACTGTGTCCAAGGGGCCTGCACTCGGTGCCTGTAGCAGTCAATAGGAACCATAAATTGTACTTTCAGCTGTAATAGAGGGACCTATTGAAATCTGATTTCACTGATAAGCCTGTGTGTTATATGGATGAATGGTTAAACAGTGCAAAATTGCTTTGGGATACAGTTTACTGAGTGGCTTTTACATGCAAAAAGCTTGGATGCAGTTAAAAAAAAGGTGCTAACTTGTAAAGTTGATTTTCTCCTTATTAAATTATAACATGCACTCTGTGTGTTTTTGGCCAGCTGAGTAGCAGAACATACTACAGACATATAATCACTAACACACACACTTATTTGGAGTCTCTACCTTTGTGTGTCTGACACAGGTAGTGTGCAGCTGATTTTAGAGCAGTGTTGCTGATTTTGTTTGCTGTGGCTGTAAACAACATTAAACCCCATAAAAATGTGGAGCTCAAAAGATGCTCAACACTCTGTAAGTCTCACAGGCGAACTACAGGGTTTGCTGGCATTCTTTGTAGCTTTATAACTGTGATCAATTTATTGATTTAAAATTTTTAATTATGGCTGGATGGATGGATCAGTGGATGGATGGATTATGGCTGCTTTGAGCTCTCAGTCTTTCTTAAAGTATACATTTTGCTTAATTTCTGCTTTCTCACCAAACATCAGGCTCCCTCCCAGCAATCATGTATTCAAAGTATTTTCTGGTTCTGCTAACTGTCAAAAATGTCAGGAAACAATAACCCAAAAATTTCCAGGCTTCAGATCAGTCAGGGATGTCAAAGACAGTACATTTTAGTTTTTCGTATCGGAGTAGTTAACAGTAGAAGTCGTTAGCATTTAGAGAACAAGCATGCCCTTTGATTGAATCTTGCATTTAGTTGTTTTGATTAGTTTTAGTTTAGATGTTTCACTTATTATGCATCTAATTTTCAGTTCAGACCCTCCACAAACCTCAGTGTTGAAGTCAATTTCAGATCAAGTAATCTGGCTAAAAAGCTGCAATTTTGTGAGACAGTGAAGAAAGAAAACCTCTCAGCCTGATGTTATCTGTGAGACCTCTTTTTTCTTCCAAAAGACATCTCCCTCTAGCAATCCCAACGTTTTGCGCATAGTTCATTGTATTATATTTATATTTTATCCAACACATACAGTATACACAATTTCTCCAATTAGAACATGTCATCTCCACTTCGAAACATTTGCATATTTGGCTAATTGGCAGTCAGGAGTTTTAAATAGAGAAGATAGTAAAGCTGGTGTTCTTCTCTCACCCCAGATGCAGGAGATGGCTTTGCACCACCACCAACAACAACACCATCACCAGCATCCTGATGGCGCTCATTATGACCCCGCCCGTAACCACACCCTGATAAACAACTCACCTCCGATACTGCCCAACCCCATGAGTGCACTATCCCAGCTAAACCCACAGGTCAGCCGGAGTGCAGTGCCTCATGGTTCCCCCTCACCTCCCGGAAGTAAATCGGCCACACCCTCACCTTCAAGCTCCAATCAGGAAGAGGAGACTGATCCTCATTTGAAGGTACTGGTGTGGCTTCTCTGGCATGTAGTAGTGGCGATAAAGGCTTGGCAGTGCTTGTACCAGGTTGTTAACATGTAATCCGCAGTGTTGTTTAAGAGGAACGCAGGAATAGGCATGCTTGAGCTTGGGTTATTTGGCTGCCTCGAAAACTCGAACATTGCTGGAGTTGGAGCTATGTCTATTTTTTTCCTTTCATGCTTTGAAAAAAGAAACTTTTTGAGATATTTACTTTTAATCTCTTCAAAAAGTTCAAAATCTATGCCCTGATAGCAAAAGGAAATTCTGTTTTCCATGTTACTTTAGTGAATAGCTGTCATTCTGATCTAGGTTTGCTGCTTATTGTTAGACACACAGGAGCTGATATTAAACCCGTTTTTAATTTCTATAATGAATGAAGATGTGAGACATGTTTTAATTGGCGCTTTTCTTCAACAACAACATGATCTGTTGCCAGTCCTCCCCAACTTTGTCACTGCTTTACCATGTTCTCAGTTACAGTCTGGTTCCAAAGCAACCACTCCTTCATTTAAATCACTCATTCATTTAAATAAGAAGAGAAGGATAGTTGTTTACATTCATTTGGTTTATGTAAATCTGTAAAACTGCTTTTATAAATTGCCCACCAACCAATGTCTCTGTGGATTTGCTTCGTTTCTGTCAGGGGAATGTGAATGAGTGTATAATTGAATCTGCCACTTCCACAGTGTTTCAGATTCATCTGTGTATTTAGCTGCCAGCTCACAGTGATACAGTATAACAAGAAGGGGATCCTTTAGTTTAAAAAATATATATTTCCCAGCCTATACATCTCTGCTGTGCTGTGTGAATAAAAATGATTACCATCTCTCCTATCAGTAAGTAATTCCATTTGCTCTCTCCAATTCATTCTGAGACCACATCAAAGCCAGAGCAGATACAGCAGGCGATTTAAAATTCCTTTCACCCCTAGCATGAAAATTCAGAATTTATGACTTGCTGAACAACTGCAAAATAAAGATTTGAAAAGGTTTGATACATTCAAATAACAGATGTTATTTTTGACAAAGTAAGGCAGGGAGAAAAACTGCTGTCAACCAGAGTCTGTGTGTGTAAATTGTTACTGTCGGTGAATCATTGCTGCAATATCCAAACACTGGGTATTGAACACAGAAAAGAAATTAAGGATTTAATGAAGCTTACATGTTTCACCTGGGCACAGCGCTATAGGCATTCATCAGCAATGCAATTATTCATTCTGAGTCGAATTAGTAGACTCACTTTCAGTGTCAATAAGCTGTTTTGTTTTTTTGTTTTGTGCCACTGATGGTCTTCCAGATCACGGGTGAGAAGCGACCGTCTTCGGAGATGATGAAGCCCAAGCCCAAACCCCAAAAAAAGAAGAAGAAGAAGGATCCAAACGAGCCTACAAAGCCTGTGTCGGCCTACGCCTTGTTCTTCAGAGACACTCAGGCAGCCATTAAAGGACAGAATCCCAATGCCACTTTTGGAGACGTATCCAAAATAGTAGCCTCCATGTGGGATGGTCTGGGAGAGGAGCAAAAACAGGTAGGCTTTGTTTAATATTCATGTATATACACTATGAGTTCTGGAAAGAGCTTTTTTTGTTGTTTATCAAACATCTAAAAAAAAAAAAACCTTGTAAAAGTTATAAATTCACTCCATAAAAACTGAAACAGTTTTGACCTTGCGGCAGTTGTGACTACCCGATGGCAAGAGGTTAATATCATTTAAGTAGGAGAAGGAGCATAAAAATGTAGCTTGCAAATGAAAAGTGTTTAAAGACAAAAGAGAGAAAAAGAAATAAGCTGGGATGCATTACTATCACCTTTTAGGATGATGCCAGCGTGGTAAAATTGTGAAAAAAGAAAAAGCATAACAAAGAAAAACAGATGCCTATTTACACATTGAGCAGCTTGCGTCTGCCTACCTAATAATTACAAGTTCAGTATTCACTCACCTTCTAGATCTGCTTTTGGGTTCCAACAATTGTTGATGGACATACTGAGTTTTATTTAGCTGGTGATAATTTTCCTTGGCTTCGCCATTATAATGAGCGACCCGTTTTTTTGAAAGTTGAATAATGCATCAGTAAAAACTTGTAATTCTGATTCTAAAATTAAAGAACTACCTGCCACTCTGAGTGATTGCAGCTTGCATGAGAGTGAAGCAAATAAAAAATTTTATGCTTTTATTTTATAAAGTGAATTTTCTTGCACTCGGACTTGTAAAGATTTTAACCACCAGCAGTGCAGCTATATTTACCTGAACTGAATGGTCAATTGGATTTTATTATAACCCAACCTGTGCATATGAAACTGCATTAACACATACTGCAGTTTAGAGGTTTCCTGTCCAGCACATTTTCTCTATTTCATTTTCCACATTCCAGTCCAACAGGCAAAGTCAAAGGTTTTTTTTTTTGTCTGTGTGTTTGTGGTAACAAATGATGGTGTGAAATGAATGAAAAAACGAGACAGTCTGATGATCATGCGCAGACTCATATTTTTAGAATATCCAGTCAGGGCGCAGCCTATTGGGTGTCAAATAAAAGCACCTGTCTCCATGACAAAGTGCAGCCCATTCCCCCCAGCCCCAGCCACCATCTACCAGACCCTATCTAGCATGTGTGTTTTTCTCCCACCAAACCTACTTCATACGCTGGACTTTGGAGGCCGTCTGTCCCTTTTATTTGCAGTTAATTTTTGCCGCCTTCACCAGGGCTCTTCACCATGAATCTTCATTTCGCTGCTGACACCCTTGAATGTGAATTCCTCATTTCCTGTCCTTTTATTTATATCTGTTGCCTGGTGATTTGATCATGCTGGGAATACAAGATTAGCAATTGCCTTGTCCTTGGTTTTGCCTCAAGGACATCTTCTCCTGAAATGTTATTGTTTGTGCTGCTTAACCCCTCGTGTCCCGGTTTCTTATTCACCTTAGATTTTGCACTGCAGATGCAACTCTCTTTCTTTCTGTCTCTGTATGTCTGTCTTCATCTCATGCTTTATGCATTTGTCCTTCACAGCTCTACCTGGGAGCACAGACAAAACTAATAATATGGCAATTCCATCATTAAAATCCAGCCATTTAGCATGCCATTTCACAGTTAATTTTTTGATTTGTTTGTGCATTCATGTGTTTAATCAAACATGTCACCTCGCAAGACACATAATTAACTTGAGGTAATGATGTCATTATGGAATAAAATATAGTAGTCTGTCTGGGCAATAACACAGTGAGTGCTCTAATTATTCTCACTGACTAGCACTGTCATTTATTCCAGGCCAGCAAATGGATAAACTTGATAACCGTGTATTTACAGAGTACAACCAATTCAGCTAGTGCACATTAATCCTCATTAAAGTCATTAAAATTTCTGTCCTGGTCTTTCATAATGAAATAAATTCATGAAAGGACATTATAGCGTACTGCATTCACATCTGCTGGTTGGTAATATAATAGTAAAATGCATTCATAATGCGCTCGTATCCTAAACATTTTCGGTAACATTTGATCCCCCTTGAAAAAAAAATGAATAAATGGGACATAAATTTGAGCTTGGTAGTCATTTTCGTTATTTGAATAAATAAAAAACACACTGGTCACATACAAAAGTAAGTGAACCCCTACATGTATTGTACCTTCTGAGGAATAAACTAGATTTTATGCCAATGTCCTGTTTTGGGGTTTTCTGTTTTTACAGGATGCCATAATACCAAGAGCTAAAGAGCTCCTTCAAACTGATTTAAATTGGTCTCCAAATTATTTGAAATAAGTAATTTCACTCCAGGGACGGTTGTCTTCAACTAGGGTAGATTACAAACAACTGCCACTTTCTCCAAAAACTGTTTGATGCCAAACACGTCCGAGAACCCTCAAATTTCATTACAGAATCTACGGTCAAAATGCATTTTTGCATCCAAGGAGACCAGAAGAATGCGCATTTTGAGTCCTGCTGTCCTAAAACAAACATTTAAGCAAAACTAGAGTTAATGAGTGAGCAAAAAGGTAAAGACAAAAATGTGTTCTAGAGAAATGACCAGTTGATATGCTTGGTGGAAGCCAAACACAGTGTTACAGGAGAAGAAAATTATTACAACTGCTACACCTCTAGCTTAGTGTGAGAGCTAGCTTGCTGCCTCAGGGACTGGGCAGCCTGCAGTATTTGCTAATGAAAAAAATAGAATTGTGCATCATATCCAGGAGTGTTTGAAGATAATGGGACACCTTCTATCCAAAAGTTAAAGGCGAACTATAAGTAATGACTTAAAAAGTAGAAATGAAAGGTTTTGGTATGACCTGGTCAAACCGTAGATCTGAATCCTGCTGTGTGCTGTTGTTACATTTACAGTATCTGTAGAGATTTTATTAAAGAGAGTCAAATGTTTGCTTGTACAAAGTGTCAAAAGGCCTAAAAAATCCAAGACATGTACTTACTTAATTGTTGGCTGTCATGTCCTGGCTGTCTCTCTCGGACCCACGAGGTGTGCTCTCTCATGTCACAGTCAGACCCTCTGGAGCCATGCAGGACCTCCAGAATGTAAACACAACCCTTCCCCTACACACAGCTTTGTTTTAACTAGATCACAGCCCCTGTTTCCAATTACCTATAGCGCTCGTCAAACACACAGTGCAGCAAAATTCACATAAGTGCACTGAAGGCAGCGTTTTTTATTGCTGTAGTTTATTGAAGAAACGATCAAAAGTTTCATTGTTGTGATTTATGTTCCTTCTGTGATTCTTTTTGTTACGCTTCAGTGTGCATTTTTCCCACTTTGCTTGTGTTGTTGTGTATTCTCCAGTGCCGCCCTTAGGTTTGGCAGAACAAAGTCTTGTTTTTTGTTTTTAAATTCATGTTTATGTTCATATTTTCTTTTTTTATTAAGCTGTTTTCATAGTTTGCACACTATACAGCGCTTTTTAATTCCCAAAGGCCTTTGCTTTATAGTGCAAGATCAATGCATTATTTGGGCTGTGCTATCCCTCAAGGTGACTACATGTTAAAGCTGCCCTAGAAACACAAAAGAACACTTTTCTTGTTTTTGTTATTTAAGATTAAGATCAATTTTCAGTTTTTACTGCAATGGGGGGGAACAGTGATAATGGATTTGGGGAGGAGGGAGGAGAAACCTTAGTATTATTTAATTGAGTCTGTAGATTTGTACCAGGGAGAAAGGGAGGAAAGAAAAGAACACTGTGAGTTTGAAAAGATGGCATGTTTAGATAATAAACTCCTTCTCTGTGTTAAGTTTAAAAATCTGTCATGCAATATTCAACTATTTTAGTCCATTTTCTGCATCTTTGTCTAGTATTCAAACACTGTTGTGCTTTTTTTTTCTTTGGTTTTAATGTGCCTCTTCCTATTTCTCCTCCATTTTGCTTCCCGTTTGCTTCCTCTCCTCCTACTTCTCCTCTTACCAATCGTCGGGTCTTTCAGTCGTAGAGTAATCACTCTCTTCAGTGTCAGCAGGGTGCAGAGTTATTGTCTCCTGTAATTAACTGGTTATCAAACAAGAACATTTCATTAAGGTACAATTAGGGGCTAATTCAGCCGGGACACCTCTGTGTCAGGATTACGATAGAGGCATATGCTCTCTCCTTGCAGCTTTGTTATTTTTTATTCATACTGACCTGCAGCCTTTGACGGCTTCAATTGCTAATGAATCCGCCCACTTTGGAATAATTAGACATCCTTAGGCATGGTAATTTATTTAAAAGTATCCGTCGTTGCGCAAATCATTAGCTGTGTTAAATTAATTTGAAATTAAAGCTGCTGGGAGTAGTTTGGGTTATTAAAGAAGCAACCGTGGGTCTGTCAGTCTATAAGAGGTGATGGGTAAGCCCATTTTTATTTTTTTATTTTTTATTTTTTCAATGAATTTCCTCATGGGCATCATTATTAATTTGATTGATTTTTTTTGCTTGTTTTTATTTTTAAAGTCTGGATGAGTGCTTAATTCATCCATTCTTGTTCCAAAGTGTCTATCACAGAAGGAAAACAATTATGATATTGTAAATAAGGATGAATGAGTGGATAAACATCAGCTGTTTGAGCATGAGATTGTATCCGCCGTCATCCCGGTTTGTTTGCTGTTCTTTGTGTATGTCTGTTTGTTTATCGACTGTACGTGTTAGCGGCTGCCAGCCTATGCGCATTTGGCAAGGCATGAATGCTTAATGGTTATCGTACCCCACCTCTTTGAAGGAAATGACCCCGTCCACAGAGCCACAGACAGTCTCCTCGCTGAGGATCAGTAATTACCCGATGCATTTACTCACGCACAAACGTACATTCTCCTTTATATGAAAACGTTCCCGAGATGAGCTGAGATCTGAGTCTTCCTTATCGATTTAAGGATGGACTTTTTGCAACTTGCTTTTCCTGCATCACAAAGGCACTGGCAGCCATAAAGAGCCTGTGAGTGACATGTGATGACATTAATTCGAATTCCCTGTCTTAACGCATCATTTGAGGTTCATTCAGAAGGCTTGAGATTGCTTCTTTGCTAATGCTGTTTTGAATTCTTTTATTTATTTTTTTTCCCCCTCGTCTGAATGATTTGCTGGGACATCAGCTCTGATTAAGAGATGAGCAACAGCCTTAATAGAGGAAGAGACAGAAAAGCAGTACACAAAATGACAAACAGCATCTCGCTCCTCATTTAACTCAGCAGAATTTCAAACTATTTTCACGCTATTGTGCACAAGCTTTATGCACATTTCATTCTGGATATTCTGAAGAAAAAGAACTACTTTCAGATACGCAAACATCATGCAGATGGTCAAATCTCCCTGACCTGATAACTGGGAAGTGAATGCATTTGATATGCTTTTCATCAAGGAGTACACCGCCGGGTCACGCAATCACACCATGACTCCCAAAATCTCATTCACATCAGTCAGTGTGGACCACAGGGTCATTTTAGCCTTTCACATCACCTTGTAATCAATCGTTGTTGTTGTTGTGTTTGTTCCTGCAGAGCTACAAGAGGAAAACAGAGGCTGCTAAGAAGGAGTACCTGAAAGCCCTGGCCGCCTACAGAGCCAGTCTGGTTTCCAAGGTAACAGCAGGGGTCACGTCTTTGATATACATGGGTCAGCGGCGATATAAGGGATGATAAATTAGACAGAATTCCTTTCACTTTTGTTCCATGGAAAGGGTCCACAAGCTGCACTGAGCTATGTTTGTGCATATATATGTGTGTGTATGTGTAAGAGAGAGAAGGCGCCTGTGTGTGTGCTCACAGGAGAACAGTGAAAATTAGGCCTCAAACACACCCGATTTGGAAGCTGGGGAGAAATGGAAAGTAATAGTACATGCGTGTGTGTTTGCGTGCGTGTGTACGCTCATCGCTGTGCATGTGCTAAAGTAGAAGTGGACATTACCTGTCATTTGCTATCCTCTTGGTGTTTCTGTCCTCCCTGATGCGCCACTAATGTGTTGCCTGAGGTTTGCGCACACCTACCGCTCTCTCTTTGATGCAGGTTACTACAGTTTAGCTCAGCACATTAACATATTTCTATCAATGCTTGTGTAAAAAACAAAACAATTCCTAATTATTTTCTTAAAAAAGCTGCTAGACTACTCCTCATTGGTTTGTCTGTACTACAGTCGTGATGGTACAGGGATATCAGTCTTTAGGTGTTCAGCATTTCATTTCTCCCTTTCTGCATTGTGTTTTTTTTTAAATACAACTCTAAATTGCATTAGCATATACCGAGCCCCTCCTCTTTTCCCTCCCTCCTCCTGTCTCCACTAAGCACAGCGCCTCACTTCCTCTCGTGCTCATGGGCCGAAAACAAGCACCTTGATTAAGGCATGAATAGTTAATTCATCAGCCTCTTCACTGTGGCATACTTTCAGCTAAAAAGACTATTCTCATCTCTTGTCTTTGCTGCAATTAGACATTCATGTCATTGCTCCTATACAGGGGCTTGATTGATACTATATGCTGGTAGATTGCCAGTCAAAAATCTGACTGACTAAAATAAGCCTGCAGACCCTCCTTCACTCATTCAGGATCAGCCAATCTGAATGCAGAGCTGAATCTCATGATTCACCACGACTCTCTTTTTTTTAATTACCAATGAAGGGGTCTTTTCAGAGTGAATCGGGGTGGGTGGAATTGGAGGTAATTGGAGCTTCATTTGAAAGATTCACTTCTTAAGCGTGCACCTGTTGCCTTTTTGTTTTGTGACTCATGTTAGTTTGTTTGTGAGGAGAAAAGACAAACTAAAGTTTCATAGCTACCCACTATATGCCATGTCATTTCTCTCATGTTTGTTTCAACCCAAAAAACTCCACACTGAAAATTTAAAAAGTTTACATTTTAAAAAGGTGCACTTTATATTAAATATCGTATTCGTTTCAGTATTTGCAAACCATCTTTCAACTTAAATATTGTTTATTGTAAATCCTTCTGCTGCAATACACAACTTTAAATGTCTGCAAGTCTCAAGTTGACACAGATCAAATCTATTATCTCACTCTTTTCCTCTCCCCTCACTTCATTTTTTTTAGCATTTCATTTTCCACTTGACCCTGCGAATGTGGCTGTCTCTCTTCTTTATCCATCCATTCATTCCTGTTCCATTGATTATTTCAGGGATTCAGTTGGATGGATGGAAGCCATAAAAAAGTAGCAAACCACCACATATAACTCCAACCAGTCCGACAGTTAATGAGAAATACTGGATGCATTTCATAGATAGACATACACTTTCCTCCACGAAAAAAAAGGGAGACAGAACAGTCTGCAGAGCAGATGTGTGTGTACTGCATGTGAGTGCAGTGGAGGTGGGCGGGGCTGGGTGATTTAATACATTAAAAACAGAAAGAATGAAGAATGGGTGGGAACTATATGTTGAATAAGCAAAGATAGCTTAACATAATAATGAATGCTTTAAAATTTGAGTACTCTGTGTTTTTTAAACGGTACAGCCATGTGAAGAGGACGGTAGACTCTTTACGCATTAGATATACTAAAACAGTTTGTGACTTAGGAGGCTCTAAAAATATTTATACAACCTCAGATGAGCAGCAATACATGACATATGACACCATGTCATTGTTTATGAAACAAACACTAAGCTAAATTGGAAAAGTGTGAATAACTAAGTATGCCCCATGATTCAGTAGCTTCTAAAACCACCTTTAGCAGAAATAACTTGAATGTTATCATTTTCTGTAAGTATTAATCAGTCTGTCACATTGTTAAGGAAAGAATTCAGCCCATTATTTTTTACAGCCTTCATTTTATTGATGTTTTGTGGGGTTTTGTTTATGCACAGATCTCTTACGGTGCTTACAAACATTTCAATCAGGTTGAGGTTGAGGTTGCTGCTTTGCTTGGGATCATTGTCCTGTTGCATGACCCAGTTTTGGCCAAGCTTTAGCTGTCAGGCAGATGGCCTCACATCTGACTCTAGAATAGCTAGCTCACTGACTGCAAGGTGCCCAGGTCCTGTGGCTGCAAAACAAACCAAAATCATCACCCCTACACCACTGTGCTTGACAGTTGGTGTGAGGTGTGTTTCTGATCGGCTGTTTTTGGGTTTTGAAAACCAAACATCTCTGCTTTGGTCTTGTCTGTCCCAAGGACATTGTTCCAGAAGTTGTGGTTTGTTCAGGTGCAACTTTGCAAACCTAAGCATTGCAGCCATGTTCTTATTAGAGAGAAAGTACTTTCTCCTGGAAACCCTTCCATACCAGCCATACTTGTTTAGTCTTGTTCTAATTAAACTGCCATAAACTTAAACATTTAGCACGCTGAAGCCTGTAGACTCTGAGAAGTATCTCTTGCATTGCATGGTTTGACCTTGGGGTATATTTGATGGGATGTCCACTTCTGGGAAGACTGGCAGCTGTCTTGAATAGTGTGAATAATCTTTCTCACTGTACAGTGCTTTTATACATCTTTTATAGACTTGCTGATGATGATTAATCAAGTGTAGCACTTACTGTCTTTATTCCTATGGAAATAGTAGGGGTGTCATTTGCAATATACAGCTTGTGCATTTTGCTTATTACTGGTAAACTCGAGGCTCAGTGTCTTCCCCAGGAATATATACTGGCTTCTATGTTGTACTGCAATAAGCCATAAGAGTTAACACATTGTTACATGGAGTGTAACCATTGTTCTTGATTTTCTCTCTCTTTAAGACATATAATGACCCCGTGGAGACAAAAAGTGCCCAGACAAGTCAGGCTTCTCCACATATGATGCCAGGCAACCCGCCGCTGTACAGTGTGCCACCTCCTCCCCAGCCGACATCGCCATACCTGGGGCCTGGGGCCTTCCCACTTACTGACCTGCAGAGCTATGCAGGACACGCCCCTCGCCACACTCTGTCGCAGACACTCAGCCAATCGCAGATGCTGCCCAGCATTAGTGCCTCTCCCCCTTCCTCCTTCCAGATCAGCCCACCACTTCACCCCCACCAGCAGCTCTCCCTGCACCAGAGCTCACTCCTCAACCAGCCTATCCGCATGCAGCAGGTCCAGTCCCAGTCAATCATCTCTCACCAGATGGGGCTTCAGGCCTCTCTTCACTCCCCACCTCCAGGGCAGCAGGTATAGTGACAAACTAAGACACGTCTGCTGCTAGGAGATTATAATTTAAGATGTGTGCCTAATTTTAATGTACTCCCTATAGGGTTTTTCCCACCTCCAGTCAGAGTACCAGAAGAGCATTGGGGGTTCCCAGTCTCCAGGAGCTCCTGGCCCTGGTCCAGGCCCTGGAGTGGCTCAGACCCATGATTGGGACAATGAATACTGCAATCGGGAGTGTGGCAACCACTGCAGGTCAGTGGGAATTCTTCACATCATATTGTGTTAATAAATGTGGAACACAGACAAACTAATTACATTTAATGGTAAAAAGCCTCAGTTAAAGAATGGAATTTGACACCATATTTACCTCATAATTTAGGTTGCATTTGCCCTTAGACCAGAATTCCCGCAGAAATAAGTTATAGTATAGTTATAGCTATGGCAGCAGATGTCTCTTCCACTGCTTTTGCAAAGTAAGTGTTGAAAATTGTCAGCTCTGTTCCATTGAGACGGGGGTGACAGCTGTAGAGGTAATGGTGAGATAATAGAGCTTGTCATGTGTTTGTCAGACAGCAGTAAAAAGAAGAGAAAAAAACAAGTTCCAAACACAAGTTTTCACTCTTATTATACTAAATGATTTGGCAAACTGCGCAGCCCTGCAGCACTGGAAGATATCGTAAGTCAATAGTGCTGTTCATGCTCAATTACAGTGCAATTTTTATTTCATTAAGAGGGTTTGTTTTGAGAAACAAACTAAGAAAAATTAAATGATCACCACCAGAGAACGATCATGCAATCAAGGAAAAATGCACCTCTGATTTGCCTCTTCCTTTCTATTTTGTAGAGTTGTAGAGTGTGACTCATAATCTAAACTGTGCCTTTGTTTTTGATTTTCCGTTTTTCTGTTTATTTGTTTTTTTCCAGTGGCAACATGATAGGCAGGGACAAGCCACTCTACCTCACCTGAAACTGAAGATGATACTCTGTCGACAAAAACGGCACAGAGGAGTCTACTCTCATCCCCTATTCCACTCCCCCACTCCTCCCCCAACCCTCCCATTCTTCTTCTTCTTCTTCTTCTTCTGACGTGCACACTTACATGCAGTGTACACTTGACATACAAACACACACACGCACATGCAAACACACACATGCCGCTTCACACACACAATCACACACGTCACCACCTTTTTTTGTCAGTGTAATTTTTATTTTTCTCAGTTTCTAGAACTTGTGAACAGAGTTTGATGACTACTGTCTGTACCACTTAATGTATTAGCAGTCCTCTTGCTGTTGAAATTTGCCAAGCACTTATAAAGCCTCCCCCCACGCCCTACCCACCCGACCCTCTCCCACCTTCTGAGTTGTGTGTCTCTGCCCCCTCTCTGATACAGGCCGGGCTGCAGAGCACTTCTCTCGTGTGTCACCATAAAGTCCCCTCAGGGACCCCATCCAGCTTTAATTAGAACGAGAAGAAAGAAAAATACTCCTTTCCTTTAATCGCTTTATTTTCCACTTGTTTTTTTCCTTTCTTTGTTGTTATTGATGCTGTTTTATTTATTTCTGGCTTGCAAAGCCGTTCCTCTTTTTTTGCCAGTAAGCGATGGGCCCTGTTCTATAGAGAAATATTAACATTTAGTAGGTTCTAGCAGGCCTTGATGTTATCGTAGCTTTGCTTAAGGGCCTGCAAATTAATACAAAAGTCTGGGTGGGGAAGAGAAACAAAACAAAAAGAATCTTTTTTAATATTAAAGACCTGTTGAGGTCTATGAGCTGTCACAGTGTGATTGTAAATATCACTTTTATGGGATCAAATTGGGAATTGGAAGTCCAGATAGATTTGTTTCTTCTTTAATATTACCTGTAAGTCATTGTGTGTGCGTGTGTGCGTGTGTGTGTGTGTGTGTGTGTGTGTGTGTGTATGTGGGTGGGTTTGTGGGCGCATGCATGCCTGGACGTTAGAATGTACCACATTCATGACGTGTGCGGCTGAGTATGTATGTGCGTACATGCACGGACACATGTGTGCAGGAGTGTCTCAGCGTTCGGGCGTCGAGTCTTTCTCGTGAATTTTAACAGCCTTGTGCAGCTGGATTTCAGAGGAGTATTTCACACTCTCATTCTTGCATTAAATCTGTGCTCACTGGTGTGTTTTTTTCCAATAAAGTTCAATCTAAAACTGAATACACAATATGTGTCCTGCAGATCATTAAATGGAAAGAGCCAGGTGAGAGATAGAGAGCAAAGAGATAGAAAAAGAGAAAGAAGCGCTGTGAAATAAAATGAGATGTAATGTTGCAGGTGAAAAAAAATTGCCTCAAAATGCCTGCCCCACCCTTCTGTTATGTTGTCTGACCATAATGTCAGTTTTGTGTCCTTCTACAATGAGAAGTGAAGTAATGAAATATGTGAATGGAGCCATCACAGCCACATTACGGTGACTTTTATAACTTTCCAGTTGGTGTTTGGTTGTGTTGATCTCATCTTTTTTTAAACTTTTGTGTGATTAACAGAAATGCATTTTGCTGACAAGACATCTCGTTTTTATCTCTTTAAGTGTAGCATCATTTCAGTTTTAGTTGCTGCAAAACTATAACATTTTAAGTTGTGTACAAAAAAAACCCTGCCAATTGTAGTTATTTTATTTGTAAAGCCAGTAATGATAAATATTTTAAATGGTTATCAGCATATTGTTTTCTGCTAGTTGCCCATCAGCCATTTGACAGGTTCTTATTTATAAAATAAAGTAGATCACCTTTGCTTCTTATGATGGAGGTATATTTTTATTCTTATTTTATTGTTTCTTTTCTTTGGTTTGATAAACTTAATGATGATGACCACAACAATGATTATTTCTTTATTTTTTACATTTTGGGTGCTGCTCTTTTCTTTTCTTGCCAGCAGCATCGGTTTGTGTCACAATGCTTCTTTTATTTCAAACCTGCATAATAAAGACTAAAAAGTTTAAAAGTGATCACGCCTGCTCTTTTCCCTGCGGACTTAATGTCTCTCTTTTTGTTTTTTCCTTCTCTAATTAGATGATCACACCTTTTGTGAAGACGTGGTAATAGTTATTTAAAAAAAATCACAAACACCCCCAACTTTCTGTACTGTACACTGCATTTGCACCAAGGAAGGTCACATATTTGTATCCTAAATTTACATTCAACTCAGGGCTCCAATGGCATCAACTAATTAACCATGGATAGAGTGTGCACCAGCCAGCATTGATATTGCCAGTGAACTATTTTAACAAACAAGAGAGCAGATGCGAGAAGACGTTTGCTTGTGAAAGTAGTGCATCGTAGGCGTCTAGTGTGAGATAAAGAGAACAGAGGAATGCAATGTGCATACAAACTCAGGCAACCGTCCAAGTGCTGATTTTACCCCAATTGCACACAAGTCTTCTTAGAGACTTTATGAGAGAGGGGAAGAAAGATTGAAATGGAACTGTCATGATCCCTTCATTCAATGTTTTATTCATGTTATGTCTGCCTGCTGTCTCTTCTTCAGTAGTATTGAATTGGCAAATAGATCATTATTGGACAATTGGAAAACCTGCCACTTTGTGATATGACACACATTATATGAAAATCACAGTCATACATTCTTAATGTAGTGTCAGATAAAAGAGGTTTTGGGTGAAGACACACAGACTTGCCTCTGTGCCTTTTGTGTGCACGCAGTCTTGTGCTCGTATGAATATCTTCTTATGGAAGCGTGTTTCTTCTTTTTTTATGTTTGGGTGTTGCCTCTCTAGCTGTAGGTATATTTGTGCATACGAAAGTGGTGTGGTAACAATAGGCTGTTTCTGCTCTACTGTGAATTCAGTCTGTGCTTGCAATCACTGTCTGAAGTAATACCGTAGTAAATACTTCTAGAAGACCATATCAATTTGACACTTCCATCAGCTCCTTTAATCCCATCCCTCATCCCAAAGTCAAAGTCATGAGGCCAACAGAGAATGAAAGGCAACAATTTATGGTGGAGGATGCCATTGAGAAGAGGTGAGTGCAGCAGTCTTGTTGGTTTCCATTGATTTGAAAAGACCACTGCTGCAACTAAATGGATGATATGAGTAACAGCAGGCAGGATGACAAAGACGGGGTCAGTGTGGTATCCATCTAGTAGACGGTGATGAGAAACTTTTAAAAGTTTATCTTTAATGTGTCGTCCAAAAGGTTAAAACTACCACAAAAGTATCTTTGCATGCAAAAATGCAAAGACAGACAATATGGACAGATGTGTGCAGTGTCCTCAAATATTTTATGATCCAAATAACCCAGTGTTTTTTAGTGCTAGAAACACACCGTACATGCATTAACTTTTGTTTTCTTTATTTATATTACACAAAAGCCTGGACTGCAAGTTGAGAATAGCCAGCGATGGAAAATTTTCATCACCAACACACTTGTAAATTTCCCCTGTTAGGTTTAAAATTCTTCTATATTTGCTCATTACCAGTGTACTTTAAATGAGGGGGAGGGGTGAAGCTGATTCCATGATACTGGCTTCCCTCTGTCCTTTGAGTTTAGCTTGATACAGGTGAGAAGGTCAGTACTATGGTTAAACGAAACGCTTACATGCAACTGAACTCCAAACATACCATCCCTCAGAGACCAGCCACTGCAGCATATAGACAAAATGTTTCAGTTGCAACTTTGGTGCTGCGGTAAGAGAAACAAACAGCAGGAAATGTGGGTGGTTTTAACAAGAAATGAGTTTCGCTTTGTGTTGAGAATCAGTTAAGGTTTCTTTTTTATGCTGACTGTACTGCACAAAATGTGTTGGTTAATCTACAAAACAGAAGATTTCCTGCATAATTCGCGAATAACGATTTAACATGAAATCTTCTAATTATTCTGCTTTTCTTTACAAAAAAAGAGCTAAAGTGCTTTTTCTAAGTAATCAAACACTAAAAATTTGCCAAAAACACCCCCAAAACAAACGTGTATAGATAGCTCTTTTTGAGTTGGTTCACCTAAGTATCAGCTTCATGCTGTTGCACAAAACACTAAAGCAAACATGGGGCTACAACATATATCAGAAAGGTGAGGCACAAAGCATACTTGCGGTTTCACACCTGTAGACATTTACGTAATCCAGCATATATGCTATGTCAGTTTTAGCAACCCTTCGGTAGGTCTTGTGGTGACCAAATTTTATCCGTTTCCTGTCTTTCTGTTTTTTTTGCAATATTACAAACAAATGTTTCAACGGGTTGCATATATCTGTTCAATAATGAGGATTTCATTTTTTAAAAGTCTAAAATTCCCCTCAGACTCATTGTGATACATCAGGTGAGGAAGAGTTTCTCACTATGATTGGATTAACTCAAATTTAAATGTATCAATATCAATTTAGCAACGTTGCCTCACACCTTGTAAGTGGGTTTCATGACATTATATGGCAAAAACTACACAGTTATTACTGTTACTGCATCATAGGCAAGCTAAATATTTGCAGTAATCTGTTGAAAATTTGCTTTATGATGCTGCCACTTGCTAATGAATAAAAATCAACTCCAATAATTAATAAACACCCCATGTCTTTTCCGAAGTAATTAGCCATTTAACATCAATGTGTCTATTATGTCAACTAACTAATGAAACAGTGGAAGATTTAGTACCTTGGAAGGCAGATATTTCTGTCTGGTATGTATAACACTAAAACAGATCTAAATAATTACCTTTAATTTTCAAATGTAAGACACTAGACTTTTTGCTTTCTATTTCCAAATGCAACATGGATACTTAAAAGGTATGCTTGTTGATCTGCTCACTGTATCAACAGGGAGCAGATCACTGTTGATACATTTGTCCACTGCTTGTTTCACAATCTAAGAGTGACCAAAAACTTAGTTGTTGCAGGTCTGGTTCACTGTCACAGTGTAATTCATTTCAGACAATGCATATTTCCTACACATTATTCAATTAAACTGCACCGAAAAAGGGATGTACAAAAGCTCATACTGCACTTTCGATTTTTGTGTATATGTGAACATTGTGGTTTAGAGTGTTAAGTCAGTAGTGTCCAGATGACACCCTTTTTGATAGGTAGCACAGTTCCTGTCCCCCAGTCCCACCCACTCATTTGGCTGTGGGACAAGAACCCTCATCTCTGTAAAAAACCCGCAGTTCTCACTGACTAAGAGGTAAAATAAT